GGGTCCGGGCTGGGGATTCGAACCCGCCACCTTAGGTGTACGTGGCTGGCGCCTTAGCCGGTTGAGCTACAGGTGCCGAGCCAGGGAGACAAGGTTTTTAAAGATAGCTTGGTGGGCAGAAGATTAGGCAATTTGATCTGGGTATTGGCTGGTTTTGGAACAGAACCATCAATCTTTTGGTATGGGCCGCTGTCAGGCATGTCAGCCAACACACTGGAATGCAGGACCTGGAATATATCTCAAAAACTATGTTCCAAACAGGTGATGTTTTCTACAGAGAAAAATTAAGAATCTTTACAACTACCACCTGTGCCCTCCAGATTAGCAGTACAGAGAAGCAGAAAGGGGAGGGTGACTATTATCACACAAATGAGGGTACAGTGGCTGATTATTATCATTATTTTAGCTAGGCCTGTTCCTTCACAGAGTTTTCTCTAGTGCTTGCCTTGCATCCCTTCATGAATTTGTAAGGGTGGTTTCGATCTTAAAACATCTAAACTTACTAATAATTTTAAAACTAGTTTCATTTACCAAAGGTTATCAAGGTTACATGAACAAAAAGGCATTTGAGTTCTTTCTTATGTTCTTATAAAATATTTAAGTGCTCACTTTTTCTTTTAAGTCAGTTAATTAGGGCTCTTCTGTAGATTTTGGTAGTGAAACATTACATGTACTTGACATATATGGACATGCAAACATATATAGAAGTCGACATTTATAGGTGAAACAAGGTGGAAAGTTTGTAATTCGAAGCTCAGAGCATACCAAGAAAAGGAAAAAGTTATATGTAAAGCCCCAGTTAAGATTTTTCCAGAAGTCAGAGAAAAGAAGTTGTAAGATATTTTCCTAGTATACTAGGGGGTGGGGGTAGTAACTGGGAAGCCCTAAAGGGATGAGCAAAGACTTTGTCTCCTAGTGAGTTGAGAAACTATGGAATACTCAGGGGGGTTATATTTTACCTTTCACTCTGTCAATGAAGATAGGAGGATGAAATGAACAGAGGTCGTGAAAATTCAGGAAGAGCAAAAGAAGTGGCTCTGGTGTGTATTTAAATCAATTTGTTTGCCTGTGTCAGAGAGAAAGTTACCTAAGGCTTAGCCTTCCCGGTGTGACAAAGTTGAGCCTGGTTTGAAATTGGGGTCTGTCCATCAGAAGCAGTTTTAAAGAGTCCATGGGTCTGGAGGCTGCCAGTTGGGGAAGGGGGCCCAGTTCCAGAAGGTGAGTACGGTGCATTTTAAGGAGAATGCATTCTTACTTCTAGTGCCCCTCCCTTTTATAGAAGTGGCATGGTCCTGGGGTCCCCTGTGGAAGCTGTTTCCTGGGGCATTTTTACTCCAGGGATCCAGAGTAGTAGTTGAGGCAGGAATCAGTTCTCATAGAAGGGCATTATCTTGGTGTCTTCTTTCCCCAGCCTTTTGAATAACTCTGTCTCTGAAAAGTTCTTTCTATAGCAGCAGCCACTATTTGAAATACTTTTTGTTCTCAGGGCTGCTATCAGTCTTGCTCTCTCTTTTTCCTCTCACCTCTCTTCACCCAGTTATCAAAGACCTTGAAGTCCAAGTTTATAAGTTGCACTTGTGGAGTCTGAGGCCCCCTTTCAAGTTTTAGAGTTTATGTTGAATATTTGGGCCAACTGGGAGGTGAAGTATATTGCTAAGATAGATTGTCCCTCCCTAGTGTCAGAATCTAAATCAGTAAAGAGGCAAAAGTCTTCAGTCATGAAAGGAAAAGGGCTTGATTTTCATCCTTGGTCTAAGTGACTTACAATGCCCTGTGACCTCCACAGCCTCCCAGGGAAGGATAGTGGTATACAAGTGGGAAAGGAGTTTGGGGTGGCCAGCCTGGGTAGAATGCAGCTGGGCAAAAGTGGTGGAGATAAGAAGGAGGAGGAAGAGGAAAAAGTGCCCCAAAGGAGAGAGTTAAAAGAGACACCATCTGGAAAGTGACGACCGTAGGAGAAATGTGGGATTAAGAAGTAACATGAGACAGGCAGAGTGAAGACCAGAAAGTCTAGCGAGTTTTATTTTTTTATTTTTCTTGAGACAGAGTCTTACTGTGTTGCCCTCGGTAGAGTGCTGTAGCATCACAGCTCAAGGGCAACCGCAAACTCTTGGGCTTAAGTGATTCTCTTACCTCACCTCCCAAGTAGCTGGGACTACAGGCACCCGCCACAATGCCTGGCTATTTTTTTTTGTTGTAGTTGTCATTATTGTTTAGCGGGCCTGGGCTGGGTTCAAACTGGCCAGGCCTGGCGTATGTGGCCAGCGTCCTAACCACTGAGCTACAGGCACCGAGCCTCTAGCAAGTTTTAAAAAGCCTACATGTAGGGAACTTTAGAACCCTCGCTTAACCCACAGCGACAGAAGTTTGAGTAACCTCACATAGAATAGCATTATGATTAAGGGATTCAGTCTTAGGCCAAATTTCCTTATCATTTAATTTACTAAATGTTTAGGACAGGAGTTCTGACTGAATGTTGCCCATTGTGACAACTAGGAGAAAGAAAAGTGGAAGAACTTTGGAGATGGTCACACATCGAGATACCAATAGAGTCTGTGTGAGGCATCCCCTACTGGATGATCTTTGAGGTAGTAATCAGATATTGGTCATCCCTGACTCCGAGTCAGGCCTAAAATGCAATTTAAGGTGCTGTTCAGAAGGTGGGCATACCCAAGTCTTGGTCCATACCTGAAATGTAGGAAAGAGCTTCCCCAAAATCAGTTGTCCCTAGGTCTGGGCGCAGTCTGGGAAGAGGTGTCTAGGAAGTGTCAGTATGTCCCATTTCCACAGAGGAGACAGAGATTCTTTTGGTAAGGACCAGAAAAGAAAATCACTCAAAGTGTTTATATACTGCCTGCAAATAATTAAGGATATTTGTTGCATGTGTGTATACTGAAGACTATCCACGTGGTGTGTCACAATCTGTATGCAGACACTGGTGGCCCATCACTACTGATGGGCTCGTGGAACATACCCATGTATAAGAATAAAGCACAGACTAGGGTTTTATAAAAGTAATAGTTAATGTTTAAGATCAACTGTATTAAGTTGCAATATGGTTTCATTAAGTAGTATTTCAACTAACTGGACTAGAATTCATAAAAAGTGTTATTTTATTAACTTAAAAAAAAAATCCCAAATCCAGTTTTATTTTTCTGTATATGACAGAGTTTGGGAATCCATATAAAGTAGTCC